AGAGAGAGAGAGAGAGAGAGAGAGAGAGAGAGAGAGAGAGAGAGAGAATATAATGAGTACTTCTTCACTTTCTTTGTCTGCTACCTTCACCAAAATGAAAAACAAGCAAAGACTAGTCGTAGTAATTCAATTTTATAGAAGCAAACCAAACAGATATTGATCTGAGAGTGATGTGGAAATTAAAGATTAGTAGTTATATTGAAAAGTATTAGTAGTTATATTGAAAAAGTAGCGAGGAACGTAGCCTCTGTGAAGACTCATTGGGAACTGTGGGCTTTAAAGCCCTGAGTCTTTCTTGGTTTGTACATGTTAGTTACCTTTTAATCACTATGACAACATGCTGGAGGAAAACAACCTTTGATAAGGCAGAATTCCCATGGAAGAGCATGGCTAAGGAAAACTGTGCACCTCTTGACAATCAGGAAACAGGAAGAAACAGGGCTCTTGGAGCAAGATAGTCCCTTTCCAGAACTGTCCCTATTCACCCCTTCCTCCTGTGGATTTTCCTGCTAATCCCTCCTTTAATTTGAACTAAATGGGTTAAACCATTGATGAATGATCTGGTCACTCCTCTAGTGCTATCAGCTGTGGACATGAGACACTTCATGTGACACCTCATAGCCAAACCACAACAGTGAAGAATGGTAGGAATGAGGGACTGATGTGCAGTCACTGAAGGAGAGGCCCCTGGCCTCAGTGAAACAGTGGGCTACTAGTCAAGTGCTTAACTTGAAAGAAATCTTCGTCACATGCAGGAATGATGGTTTGATAGCAGAGGAAGAAAACTGACCCATTTAGTATATATCAGCCATTGGTTTAATAGAAAAAATCTTGTTTGTTTTGTTTTTTTGAGACAAGGTTTCTCTGTGTAGACTTGGCTGTCCAGGAGCTTGTTCTGTAGACCATGCTAGACCTGAACTCAGAGCTCAGAGATCCACTTGTCTCTGCTTCTGAGTGCTGAGATTCAAGGCATGCAGCACCGTGCCCAGCCAGAGAAGGGTTCCTGTCTTGCTCAAGACATAGGGCTGAGGTTCCTTAGAAGAGTCATAATTCAGTAAAGAGATTGGTATCGGGTTTTCATAGTTAAGTCAGGCAGAAAGAACTTTACATGACTGTTAGAAATTCCCATAAATGAGAATTTGCATGAAGGGAATATAATATATATGAGAATAATGTTTGATATGACATTAGTTCCTTTTTAAAAGTTTATTATGATCTTGTTTTCTTCAGGTTTTTTGAAAAGTCGGGATCGTGCCTATACAAAATTCTATACTCTTTTATCCAAAACACAGATTTTTATTCGCTTCATTGAAGAATGCAGTTTTGTAAGTGATAAAGATACTGGATTGGCATTTTTTGATGATTGCATCGAGAAGGTAATATTTTGTTTTATATGCCAACTTTCAGAAAAAACACATTGGTTTAACCTCTATAATAATTGTGTGTTGGGGTGAGGAAGAGAGTGTGCAGGAGGGATGTTGGGAGAGAAGGAAGGAGAGAGGAAGGGAAGGAGGGAGAGAGAGAGGGGTGGGGAATATCTTTCCTCTGTGGTATCTACTTGCTTCTGTTACTTGATTTGCTTTTCTCTCTGAGCCTACTGAATATTAAAAGTGTTCCCTTACCTTTCTAAGTCTTACTGTTTGTTGTTGTTGTTGGTTTAATCTAAATAAACAGGATATGATTGCTTTTATTACTTAAAAGCTATGGATTTATGGGTAGTAGTCTGCTATGTCTTCTTGCTTTAATGTCTTTCAGAATATTAGGTAATATCTGTAAGACTTTTTTCGTTATTGTTCAAAGTTTCTTTTGAGCCAGAGTCTTATGTGGCCCAAGCTGGCTTTTAATTTGCTACTTAACTAAGGATGATTTGAATTTCACCTTCCATGTGCTGTAATTTTAGGCATGTGTCACCCCTTCTCCAACCCCCACACCATATCACTTTTTTTTTTTTAACTTTTTTTGTTTGTTTGTTTGTTTTTGAGACAGGGTTTCTCTGTGTAGCCCTGGCTGTCCTGGAACTCACTCTGTAGACCAGGCTGGTCTTGAACTCAGAAATCCGCCTGCCTCTGCCTCCCAAGTGCTGGGATTAAAGGTGTGTGCCACCACCACCCGGCATTTTTTTTCAACTTTTGATAGGGTCTTGATATGTTAGGCTGGCCTGGAATTTGCTGTGTAGACTAAGATTAGTCTGGCCTGGACTTGAAATGTACTTCTGCTTCCCAAATTCTGGAGTGATTAGAGCTATGTACCCCTATGCCTAGCCTGACTTTCAACAGTGAGGAGTTAAATTCATATGTCTTTCTAATTTTTAAAAGGTTTCACATTTTTTCTAAATAGATCTAGGAGCCACTTTTTCTTTTCACAAATCATGCTATATAAGATTGGAGATTGTATCCATGAATGGATGAGTATTATGTTTTAATTTTTATTGACCTTCATTGATGCATATGCCTTAGAAACTATGTTTAAGATTTATGAAACAATCAAAGTCAAGTATGATGACATGTGTGTGATCCCTCTGTTTGAGAGGCTAAGGCAGAATGATAGGAAGTTCAGGACCAGCCTAGACTATACAGCAAGTTCTAGGCCAGCTGTGGCTACACAGTAAGACCTGTCTGAAAGAGTGATAGAGAGGAAGAAAAGAAAACTAGTGAAAAGAAATAACTTTCTTTTCACAGACAAATATGCCTTGATGTAAGCATAGAAAACCTAATTTTGTATACCTGGTATTGAAAAAAAAAGTTTCTTTTTGTGTATGTGAGGTGCATGGACACATGTGTGGTGATGGACGTGTGCAGAGGCCAGAGGGGAGGGTGTTGGGTGTCATGCTGTACCATTCTCCATCATGTTCCTTTAAGATAGGGTCTCTCACTGAACCTGGTGCTGAGCTGGTTGTCAGCAAGTTCCAGCAGTCTTCCTGTCTCTGCCAACCTCTTCCCCATTGTACTGGGCTTATAGGCATGTGAAGCTGCCCTGCTTTTTATGTGGGTGCTGAGATCGAACTCAGATCCGTATATTTGCCTATTGAGTGTGCTTAATCACTGAGCCATTTCTCCAGTCCTAAGTTGTTGTTTCTCCTCTCCCTCCCCATCACCCTCCTCTTCTTCCCCCTCTCCCTCCCCTCTTCCTCTTCTCCAAGTTTTTTCTTTTTAAACTCAAGATTTAAAATTTTTAAAAATTATTCAACTAAATATAGGTTTTCACTAGAATTTCTCTTTTTCTGTTTTTAGTTGTTTCCAGATAAAGGTGTAGAGAAAACAGACAAGGTATGACTCTTTTCTTAGGCTTAAATGTTGCCTTTCAGAATTAGATTTTACTTATATGCACATTAATTGGAGAACACTTATTTTCAGGTTGATTTGGATTCAGCAGAAGACACCAAGTTGATAGAGCTAGATGATTCACAGAAAAGTGAACACACTGTATTTATAACGCCACCTGAGCCACCACCTGATGATGGAAATAATTTGTCACCTCAGTACAGGTAGAATGAATTTTTTAAAGAGCTACTTGGGCATAGTTTAGATAGTTTGTTTCAGTTTTTGCCATGATTAAGAGATACGTGTGTTTGTAATATGTGTAGGTAATTTTCAGTGTGAATTCAGTGACCTGAGATAAATATTCTGTGGAGTTACTCCCAGGTGTTACTGTGTAAGGGCAAATAGCCTTACTGAGCTCAGACAGTAATGTTTACTTAGGTGTTACTATAGTTTAATCTGCAGAATTTTATTTCTTAAAAAAATGTTTTGGGTTTGGGGATTTTTTTGTTGATGTTGTTTTGTTTTGAGATTCCCTACTAACTAACTTTAGGAGTTTTAGTCCTGTGAAATTCTTCAGTTAGTGAGATAGAGAAAATATGAAACTAGAGGAATCAATCTGTTTAAAGACAACTAGCAAGTAGGATTTAGATGAGAATCATTTCAGAAATTACAGTAAATATGTTTTCCTTATTATAATCGTCACAGTATATAGTTTAATAAACTTAAATGAAATAAGAAATGTAACACACAATTTTAGTACTAATTTTAGATTTATTAATAACTTAAGGTATGTGTATATATTGTGTAGACAAGTTTATCTTAAACATTTTCTTTGTAACTTGTGTTTACCTTTAATAGTCAGAACATTGTTTCATACCACTGAACATTTTCATGGCTTATAATTTTAGTGACCACATTGTGTGCAGTTACTGTAGTTTATTTACCTTGTTTCTTGTGGATTTGTTCATAGTTCTTTGTATCTTTGCATACATACATACACACACAACATAAACACAAATGAATTCTCTAAGGAATAGTCAAAGACCTTTGTAGAGAGACTACTCTCAGCAGGGCTGAGTGAGACTGGAGTTTTACTGCAATTGAGCATCTTAAATGCTACTTCAATTTCATGCTGTATAATTACTTTTACTTTGCTTAACTTGTGTGGTTGAGACTTTGAATATTGACATATAAAGCACAATCAAGGGAAGGCAAGCTTTCTACAGAGAAAATTTGTCAGAATAAATGAATAGACAGTTTTCAAGGAGAAAGTCAGCCATAGGAAAAAAACCCCAGCTCTTCTAGCATTTACAAAATGCACACTCACCTGTTGAACATCAGTTTACCTGTTGGAGGCTGAGCTGTGTTGTGAGTGTATGTTAGTATACCCATGTTTGAAGTCATCTGCTATTGATTAGAATGTCCAGTTAATTTGAGAAACACTGGTTTAGCCGGGCAGTGGTGGCGCACACCTTTAATCCCAGCACTTGGGAGGCAGAGGCAGGTGGATTTCTGAGTTCGAGGCCAGCCTGGTCTACAGAGTGAGTTCCAGGACAGCCAGGGCTATACAGAGAAACCCTGTCTCGAAAAACAAAACAAAACAAACACTGGTTTAGCTATGTATTTTAAGAAATTAGGCAAGAGTATTTACAAATATACACACATAAATATAGTTAATTGATGATATTCTGAAGAAACTGAGTAATAACCAGAAGTGTAAAGAACTTGTTAAATCATAATACATTTCTAAAATAAAGACTTCAATTTTTTCTTTTAAATACTGATGTAAACTAATATCTTAAAGAAAAAGTTGATTATTAAATATACTGATATTTTAAATATAATTATCCTTGAACATACAGATTTTATTAAAAGAGTTATGAATTCTTCTATAAGACTGACATCAGGGATTTTTCTTTTTTGCAAACTGGTTGAAAATAACAAATAGCTGGGACAAGCTAGAGTTCCTGACAGTCATTCTATAGTACTAGCTATGTTTTCTCATACTTTCAAACAAATTGTAAGGAGTTTTAAAGAAAATTATAGGATAATATTTGAAGTTTAGAAATTTTTACCTAAATGCTGAGTAGTTGAAGGATTTGATAGGTTGTAAAGCAGCAGTTCTGTCTTTGCTTTTTGTTTTAGTTACACATACTTCCCAAGATTGGATCTTAAGCTTTTTGACAGCCCCCAGGAGCTGAGACTGTGCTTCAATAGACATCCTCCTGGGAATAGCATTACCAACAGCCCTGCCCTCATGGCTAAAAGAACTAAACAGGTCAGATATTCGTTATATAACCCATGTTCATTGAAAATATAAAATATATATGTATAGAATCCTTAGCAGCCATTTGAAGGCCCGGTATGGTTGTCATGTGTGTAACGGTATTTCTTGTACCCAACTTGATATTAAAATTGAAGTTTAAAGCACTCATTTATATTTAAGGGAAGTCTTGGGAACCAAACAAACCTTAACTTTTCTGGACTTGTGGTGACACTTAATCCTAACATTCAGGAAGCAAAGACATGAGGATTTCTATGTGTTTGAGGCACCCTGGTCTATATAGTGAATTCCAGGCCAGCCGGTGCTACCTAGTGAGACCCTGCCTCAAAAATTAAAAGAAATAAAATAAAAAGTATGTAATTTAGCAGGGTAGTGGTGGTGCATACCTTTAATTTCAGTACTTGAGAGGCAGGGGTAGTTGGATCTCTGAGTTCGAGATATAGATAGATAGATAGATAGATAGATAGATAGATAGATAGATAGATAGATAGATAGA